AAAATTAAAAAATAGTATTATATTCTGTAGATACTCTAAAATATATTTACACCGATGGAGGTGGCCTTAGGTTCAAAAGTTTTTAAATGAATAAAACTTAACTATTTAATAATATAATTATTATTTTCGAAGCTATATTTCAAAAGATAGTTAATTATCTCAAACTATTTTAGTTACTATCTAAATGAACATCACATATTATGAGAGAGTGGCGAAAGTGATATTTTGCTAATTAACCATTTTTCCTTTGTTTAGTGCATAGACTTTAAAAATAAAAACCTTAAACTTTTATTTTTTTCATTCCCTTAAGTCTCTATATAATTTATTACAACAACTTTTTAATTGAATAATCATTTTTTTTTCTCTTTCTTTCAACATCCATTTTGTTGATATATCAATAATTTTTGTTTTCCTTTTTTTTTCAAGATCCATTTTTTTTCTAAGTACTAAGAATAACATTTTTATACATTATAATTTTGTTATTGGAAGATCAATGATAATTTTGTTCTTATTCAAAGTTTTGTTACCGTTTGTAATATTTAAAGGAACAACAACAGTTTTGACAGTTTTGATTATCAATCAGAGTTTGAAAATATTTAAAAGTAACCGTCATAATTCTTACAGCAACAATATACAGTCACAGTCCTTACCAATCGGCTCTAAGTATTAGGAAGACTTCTCCTATCAGTTAAAGTAAAGATTCTAATACTTAAAATAAAAAGCTTCTATTTAGATTTTAGTCAAGTTGTATTGTGAGAGATTAGTTAGATAAGTCATCGCTCTCATTACAGTTAATCAAAAATTCAAAAGGGCAATGCTTTTGAAAGAGAATGTTTCGTAAATCTAATTGCAACATTTTGGGAGTTTAAATTTCGAATCCAATGATAATAATAAAACAAAACAAGGCGTTAACATGAGTGAGTCCTGTCAAAAGAGAGAAGAACAAAAGAGCCTAATATATAATATTTATTTGTTTGTGCCTTTTCATGGTTTCGTTTTCGTGCCTGTAACTCTGAGAAAGGACACAGTTGTGTAAGTAAATAAGTGTGGAACACAATCAGGGACAAAAGCCTAAAGACTCGAGCAAACCTTTTTTTTTTTCTTTTTCTCGTTAATAAAATAAAATAAAACC